CTTGAACGGAACCATCCCCGTATTAAATTGGTAGGTGAAATGTATACTATATGTGAGCTCAGACTCAGAGACAGAGCTCGTGTTTACATTCTGTGTAGACGCTACGGCGTACGCAGGCTAGTGTCGACACTCATGTAAAAATATTTTCCTTTTCCGTTTGACAAATCACAATGAATATTATATGGTGTTTCTTTTTATTTCAGGTATACATGCGAACTATGTAAAGTCGATTTACTGGTAAATGAGAGAGAGGCTCAATGCTGCCAAGAAATCGAAGGCTGCTTAGAAGCGTTAGGGACAGAACTTGTTTTACAAGAAGTAGGTGCTGAGCCAAATTGCATAACGCTTCATCCAGGCTTTGGTTCGGTCTGTTTATCACCCTGGTCATTGCGTCTGGCAGGGCGTAAATTTCGAAAACGTAGAAGGTGATGAAAACAGGCAAGACACATATATATAATAATATATATATTTATTAGACAATCTAATATAGCCATTTTTAACCCTGATAAATCCCCACAATTTGTTATCAATCAGAACATTTCATTTATATAAAACTATTACAAATATTACATGAAAAGTTTCTTATATTATAGGTGTTTCCGAAGTGTTGCCTATAGAGAGTATATACTATATACTATTGGTTTATGGATACTTGGGAAAGAGAAGAATACCTTTACCAGCATGTGCTTATCATGCCATAAGACAAGCTTTTGGTGGAAAAGACTTCAAAGGTTTTGAGGATGACGAAGAGTTGGAATGATATCATCACAATAATATTATGCATCCAAAAGTGCCAGGGCTTCTGACATTTTAAATAAATCTTGTTAACCCATTAATCGCCAGCACTCTCCCCTTGACGAGTAAAATCGTCTTGCATTAGAAAGAGTAAAATAATAAAGTAGGGTGCATCAGGGCACAATGCGACTCAATGGGTTAAATAGACACATGGGCAGATAGGCCAGTTACCCATTAAGCACCAGCGCTCTCCCCTTGATGAGTAAAATCGTCTGCCGTTAGACAGAGTAAAATAATAAAGTGGAGTGCATCAGGGCGCAATGCGACTCAATGGGTTAATTCCTAGATTGGTAAAAAAGTGGAAAGTTCCCCGAAGTGGGACTGATGTCCAAGGCATATCCCCCATTTGCAAACACTTGAAGTGAGATCAATACAAAAACTGATTTCAATTAATTTTATAAGGCCAGAAAATAATACCAGGGTTCCTGGTGTTTAGAGCTCACTGGTTTGTGATATGATTTATAAAATTCATAAAAATAAAATAAAAAATTCAAAACCGACCTACTCTTCCTAGGTTTTTGTAACATATAATAGGAAACCATGGTATTTCTTGGCCTAATTGATTTCAAATGCCTCACCACTGGGTTGAGGTTAGTTTTCAAATGACCCACCCCTGGGAAACAACATAAAATGAGCAAGTTCCTGGGGGGGGGGGGTGCACTCTGGATTTGAATATTGCATAAAAAATTAATACATCTGTATAATTTAATCAGCTAGTATGTACACTCTAAAAACACTCTGGTTAAATTCAACCAGGAACTGGATCAATAAACTACCTAGCACATTCCTGGTTAAATTAACTGATTTCCTGGTTAAAAATGATTGATTAAACAAAAATCTGGCCATACTTCTTTGGATTTTTAACCAGGAAAATGGTTTAATTTTTTTAACCAGGATTGTGTAGGTGGATTTTTAACCCCATCCTGGTTGAATTAACCCAAATTTAACCAGAGTGTTTTTAGAGTGTAGTTAACAACATAAAATGAGCAAGTTCCTGTGGGGGGGGGGGGCACTCTGGATTTGAATATTGCATAAAAAATTAATACATCTGTATGATTTAATCAGCTAGTATGTAGTTTGCAAATTAGTGTAATGTCAATTTTTTTGTAATTATTTTTTATTACGAGGACAATCCAAAGTGCCAGGCATCAATGATTGACTTTTCCAGACTTTATTTCCCCCTGGACATATTTTGTTGTTGCACGTCATCTCAACTTGAACCATTGTGCCAAACTCTTTCATTTCTACCAGCACATCAGGCTTCTTGCATGTTGCACAAACTTTGAATAGTTCCAACGATTGCGAGAGCAAGACAACAAACTTCGGTTCCATCATGAGGTTTTCATTATTAGGAAAAATGCTATAAGAATAAAGTTAAAGGTGATCTACAGTCCGTATGTAAACAAAGCCTTTGTTTACATTTTTGTGTCCAAAATATTGAGCTTTATTCGACAACTATTTATATTTTCAAGCTTCTAGAGTATAATAAATGATCAAGAAACAACAATCAGGCTTTTCAAGAACTCAAAACATAGTTAAACTGTTTGTATCATAAAAAGTGGGCTCATTTGTGCACATGCGCAGTTCGAAGTTCAGTCTCTTTCGTTTCACAAAGCCAACCTATCGTTTCCTTCGCTTTATTGCCTCTGGCCGATCGTCATTCGCATAGACGCATACGGAATATTCTGCAGCGATATTCCTTCATTTTGGTTAGCAATGTTGGAGCATCCATATGCTACACACCTATGTGGCATCTCTGAACCATGGACGTTCAGCGAAATAAACAAAAAACCGATAAAATATTCTTTTCTCGTGTTTTTAAAAAGGATAAAGTGTTCAATGTTGCTGTTTTACTATAAATGTCCTGTTGTTCTGAAAGCATGTCTTCTCATTCCTACGTCACTTCCGCCTCACAACACAACTAGTTACCACTAATTGTATCTCACGGTCAAACACAAAAATTTGCCAAAATCCGCAACTTTGAGGCCCAAAAAGTCCATGAAGATCAAACTTGTCAAATATATTGCAAATGCTCTCAAAATTGTCTAAACTATCAGGAAAAATCATTTCCCTGACCCTGATATAGGCACTTTAAGCAACGCAATTTTCTACTACGGCAGAAACGGACAGATTGACGAACGCGAAACAGAAATTATCTGGTTTGTTTGGTGGAGGGTCTTTGAGTTTACCCGGAAGATTCTGCAGGCGGAGCAGAAAGACCTGTCTCCGTACCCGCGCTGCTTTGACGAACTGGTGTTTATGGATGAACAGTTTTAACTTTTTTCATGCTGCCATCATTGCACATTTACTCTCAAAGAAAAATATAAGAATAGATGACACGTTACTCACACGTTACGCACACGTTACGCCACACGTTACGCTTGACTTTATATAGAATATTAATGAAAACCGACACGTTACACACGTTACGCCCCATTCTTATAAAGGTAGAATAGGTCTACCTTTAATATATTAGGCGTAACGTGTGTAACGTGTCAGCTTGCTATAGATTCTTATATAGTGAAAGGCGTAACGTGTGGCGTAACGTGTGCGCGTAACGTGTGCGTAACGTGTTGAAATTGAGTTCTATTTAGTTTGTATGCATGTATAAGGTCTTCAAAATAATTTTCACGTAGGCAATAAGTCGTTGAGTTTTCGCATAGTACTTTTATTGAATATGCATGGTAGAAGTGTGTACTTAAGAGAGTGTCCATGAGAGGGCCAGACATGGGGTGCTACATATGGGTTTACCGATTTTGCTCAAACTTGGCACAATTGTAGGGCACAATGAGTTATAAACTATCCCAAATTATTAATTGGATCGGTGGCTTCAATGGTAAGTTAGGCGACCCATCCTCAAAATGACCGTCTCTAGCCCCAAAATGGCATAAATATACCCCAACTTCAATGAAGCACAGAAATTTTAATATAAATTGTAGAGATGTGAAACATATGTTTCTGTAAAGTACAGATGCTAATTAATGTTACCTTGAAATGAGGTGCATTTTACTTCTAAGCTGTTGCCATGACAACGATATGTTTATGAACAAAAAATGTCAAAGTTGATATTACATAGGTTTTGTGTATTTCAGAGGTCAATATCTCTGAAGTCCACTATGAAATTTACAAAAAATACTGTTACTTAATTAGATATATATCTTAAATTACTAAGAGAAGAAAAAAATTTGCGGGCACTCATTAACTGCAAAATTTATGGCGGATTTGCTCGACCCTACTTGGCCAATATCACATAATTTGTTCAGATTTTCAACAATAGTTAAACTGATTTAACTGCTCTAAACAGCTTTAATATGGCTTCTAATTACCAGTTACAATTTATTTTGTGTTACAATGTAAACTATTTTCAAGCAGAAGCGAAATTGATTTCAAGAAATAAATTTTATGGAGACATGTTTAAGCACATTATTTTTATGTTTATTTACCTTTAAAGTTATGCTTCTGAGTTTTGTTGCAAATTGGATTATTTGCCAAACAACCTTCAAAACTCCCAAATGCGATACACAGTCCAATTAAACAAAGTACGAAGCTTGTATTTTGAAGACACTCGTCGTCAGACTGCAGATATATTCGACAGCCCATAGGGGAACTGCGCTTAAATGTCATAATCAATGGTCCCGCTTTCGGTCTTGCTTTGATATGAAGATCCTATACATTCTTGTAGCTTCCTTTCCTTGCTGACAGTTTATTGAATAGAATAAAGAGTGTTCAAACAGTTCGTAAGGCATAAAATACAAATGCTTAATCTGTGTGAACTGTGAACTTTGAGTATGCTTTGAGTTTGTTTACATTGTTTGAATTGGGGAGCGGTTATTGTTGTCAGCGGCTATCTACCTCAAAGTATCAATTAAAATTAATTACTGTTTTGACGTTTTGAATTTTGATATGTTTTGATTTCATTTGACATGTGTATTTTTCACAACTAGTGATTTTTTCGACGTCCATGTCTTTGAAACATGTCTTTTTGTCGAACTCCACTGCAAATAGCATGCACTATAGGTAGAAGACACAGGACAAAGTGCGGTCTTTCCTCGCGATATCCCAGTCAGAGGGAGGTAATTCCGATAACAGAATGTACAAGAAACACAACCACACATTTGGCCAACTTGAAAGTGTCAAGAATACAAATATCAGAAAAAGATCTAATAGCGTCAAGGGTTGGCGTATTTGAAAATGAGTCGAATAGTATGACCGTTTGTCCAAAACACAGAGAGGTGCTAGGAATCTACTGGCGGCCAGTGCATCGCTGTCAACATCCCTTACACAAATCGTCTAAGCCCGGGAAATGCGATAGAGGAGTGACATTTAAAATGTCTAAAGAGATTAAAGACCAATGGGATGTGTTAGTTCAAACTGGTTCAGGTGAGATTGATACTTGCGGTAGTACCGCAACTCAAAATTATTTTAAAATAAAGCTAAGCGTCAAAGAGTAGAGACATAAAGACTAAAGAGGTCCAGCTTCAGTCATTAAAAGCGTAGCTTGGAATGTCAGCGGGTTTCTGCGCAGTAACACACTTTTACACACTGCGCATGACGTCGAAAACTTAGCCAGTGTCCTCAACAGAGGCATTCACCCGCCTTTGACACTTTGCTATCTTTAATATTTCCGGGGGCTGAATGCCTCTGTTTAGGGCACTGGCTAAGCTTGTGCTGAGCCTGCGATTTGTGTTTTTTCCTCCCGTTTAAGCTGGACCTCTGTTAGTCTCTACGCTATGTAAGCATCATGTGTATAATTAGCGCCCGAATAAACTTTGTTTGACCTCCAATAAATAAACAAAGGGGGTATCCTTAATTATATGTTTATACTGTTTAAACCGACAGCTTCGGTATAATGTCCTTGATAGTAACATTTGTGGTGGGACGCTACATTAGAATATATACCGTCCCAAGATAAACTGAGAGAAAATATATAAAGATGAAATAAATAGTGTAAGAGTATCATTGGTAAGCATAAAATATACGTGGTTTTTAGAAATTTGTAGGCAATGCAGAGAGAAACATAAAGAGCATATTAAAACGTCTTGCAGCAAAAAGATCAGAGATGACGTCGTTAAAAACATCGTAAGTATATAGCGTATAGTAGGAATATTTAAATCTGTAGTAGAACATTGCCTGGTGAAAATTATTGACTTCGTGAGAGACAATAATATTGACAACTTTCACTCCAAGACCTGTCTTACAAATTTTTTGTTCGTAACTTTTGAATGATTGGTCATGTTCTTGAAGCCAAGGCTTATTAAAGTCAATTTATTTTAATAGAAGGGACGTAATGATTTTATAAGTTAGCCAAGTCTGCTGGTCTATTATTATAATTAGACTAATTTTTTTGTGTTTTCGACCTTAGTTCCCTGACAACACCGAAAGCTCTTTGAATGACGTGGCGTTTGAGAACAATGCGCAGGTAACTTCATAAATGGACAGTTAACTCACAAATGAAATGGAAAGTACAAGCACCGGTAATGTTTCCTTTTTTAATTTTTTACTTAATAAAGGAGACTCTTACAACAGAGCTAGAGTTTAGTGCTCTAACTGACATCGATGAGGAAAATTTAGCAAGCCCTGACAACATCGATGACAAGGACTGGATATCAACACCTCAAGTTAGTAGAAATCTCGCAGCACTAAACGACTTTTTGAAAGTTGTTCATGGACGTGATGTAAGCCCACTTAGATCACAGTGCAACTTGTCTGTCAGTGACATGGCAGGTTCAACTATTCGTTATTACAAAAGAAAGGCATTGGAGTCTTGTGAAGCAGTAATGCATTGTATTGCACCTGGCCAATCAAATGCACTTCTAGCACTCATAAAGAGAGATGATACGTCCCCCATTCCATCTTCTAAAGACAGTGAACTGATAAAAAGGTTAATCATGCTTTACGAAGAATCAGACTCATGGTCCACTAAAAGAGAGATACTGTCATTATTTGCACAGGATTATACAAAACCTCAGTTGATAACGATGGTTCCAGGATTGTCCAAATGGCGTATAGACGAGGCGCGCAAACACGCTGCTCTTGTTGGGCCAGGAAAACCACTTGATGTACCAAACGTTCACCGAATGAAGTTAGACCCTGTTAAAGTTGACCACTTCATTGATTTTGTATCCAGTCCAAATTATCTTCAAGATGTTGCCTATGGGACACGAACTATCAAGCTTACCAATGGAGAAGATTGAAATACCCAATGTGGTGAGGACCGTTACATCGTCCAGACTTGTTAACCTTTATTTCTCGTTTTGCCAAGAGATCAACTTTGAACCTCTGGCAAGATCAACTTTATTTGGTATACTCAAGGTAAATATATTAAGAGCTATTATACGTACTAGATATTCCCTGAGACTTGTCAGATCTTCTTAAAACCCATTGGCGTAGAAACAACTTCTTACGATACCCCATTCCCCTTCTGTACGCTAGTGTGAAAACTTGTTTGATCTTTCTCTTTGCTCTTGTTGTAAGGAATGTGCTGCATCCAGGCAGAAAAGTCTTAGTGGACTAGATAACATTGCTACAGAAGGATCTTCAGCTTTCCAGACTTTACACGATGTGGCCGCGCAATTATCCAAAGCAGGTAAAAACACTACGCAATTTCGTGCAAGCGTATGCCACTCGTTACGCCATATCGTAACTGTGTGAGTGCTGTATAATCGTAGACTAAAAGAGTTGGAAATTTTTTTCTCAATAGTCCTATGAATTTGCACGATCATATAGAAACCATTCTGAACATATAAGAAGTTCAGAAGAAACTCAAAATTTCATAGAAACATTAATCCTCCCCCATTGGCAGATATTTCCACGAATTCCACTGATCAATTTCTCGTTTCCCAAATACCACGCGTGTTTCTATAACTCCGCGTTAGAAACACAGAACATGTTTTCTTTTTTTAGAGTTACTGAATAGGTGATGTATATTTGTGCTGTGAAGTATGGGATGTATTTGACGAAACTCAATCAAAACGACTGCAAAAACTGCAAAATAGAGCGGCAAGAATTATTCTGAATATAAGCAATGACGTAGATTATACGATTGCGTTACGTACTTTGGGCTGGGAGCCACTCCAAACTGAAAGGAAGAAAACTAAAGCAAGAATGATGTGTAAGTTATTAAACAAAATGGGCCCAAAATCACTCACAAATCTATTTTCGTTTAAACTAATTACCACCTTCGGGATGTCTCAAGTGGTCTTTATTTACCAAAACCACGTACAAATAGCATGAAAAATAGTTTTATGTACGACAGAGCAAACATTTGGAATTCTATACCAAAAGAAATTAGAGAAAGCAAGTCACTTTCTTCCTTTCGAAATAAAATCGCTGCTCGCATTAGTGCTTGGTAACCTTTGTAAATATAACTTACCTGTAAATAGCTCAAAACATTTGTTATATCTTTTAAATTTATATATTACTGTAATAGCTTAGCGTATCCTTATCATATTCTGCATGTAAAATAATTTTCTGGCACACGCCCCCCGTGGAAATCAGCTACGGTTGACGGGGTCAGCGTGGATAAATAAAGTTCTACTACTACTACTACTACTACTACTAAAGTTCATCAATTATCGTGGGCGCGGTTCATGGGTGTATGCGTGGTCATCTCACTGATCTCAAAATATGGCTGTTTAGCAGGAGTGAAGAAGGGGAAAATATAAAAATTACATGTAGGAAAGCTTGGAATTCATTTCACATAACAATTTATCAAACTTATTTCAATTTTTAAAGGTAAACATTTATAAGAATTGATTTAGTATGAGAAATCCTAAAGTATAGCCTATAGGGCAATATTACAGACTTTGTTCTTGTTGCTCAAGTCTTTCCTATGGATTGTATGCGAAAGTTTCATAGTTAAATTCACTTTCGAGTTTTGTAGAAGTTCATGATGAAAAGGAAAGCAATTTATTTTCATTAGCGTTCTGTACGAATAAATTTATTTCATTTCAAAGTGCGAGTAATATAAAGTTGAGCTGAAGTTATGGCGATCGGCAAAAAGCAGATAATTTCAATTCACATTTAAAAACGTTTTACGTAGAGTTTTGTTTTCAATTTTACAAGGGTGGGTAGTAGCGAAGTAGTTGTAGTTCGCTACTGTAGCGAACTACAATTTTCAAGTAGCCAGTAGTTTTAGACTACTTTTTTAAAACAGTAGTTGTAGTTATAGCGAACTACATTTTGCCTAAAAGTAGCCAAATAGTTGACTACTTTTCAAACGGCGGATCGCTATTCGCTACTTTTTAAAATTGTTAGCAACCGTTCATAGAATAGAACGATATTAGGCACGGTTTGCTTAAAAGATTATTTTATACAGTAAAGGTTATTTTAGCGCAATGAAAAGTGGCACTCCTGAACACTGTAGTGCTTACAAAAATGTTGCTTACTGTTGCTACTTGTAAGTCGATTTGATATAGGTTATATTACAGCCTGAGCTAGTGGATGCTCCAAATATCGTAAAACTAAAAAATATAGAGTAGCGAAATAGCGAAATAGTTCGCTACATTTTTTAAACAGTAGCTGTAGTCAGTAGCGAACTACTTTTGTTCAAAAGTAGCAGTAGTTGTAGCTGACTACATATTTTTGAAGTAGCTGTAGTTATAGCGAACTACAAAAATTTTGTAGTCAACCCACTCTTGCAATTTTATATTAAAATAACGCACATAGAAACCAAAATAATATACTTACTTTATATATTTTAGAAATTGATAGTTCTGTACTTAAAAGTGTTCAAGTTTCATCTATTGCCCCATCAACTTTACTTTAGCAACTTTACGTTAGGGTTAGGGGGTGGCGGTTAGAGGTTAGGTTAGGGTTAGGGTGGGGGTTAGGGTTACAACCCAATAACTTATTGCTGATAACGGTTGATAATTACAGTACTATATTGTTGATAACGCAAGGAGCGGCTGGCCGTGGTGCGCATGTTAAGTAGCGACAATAACAAAAAATGTAAACAATACTTAAGAGGCAGTCTCTGTAAGAACCTCATCACCTCTTTGGATCAAGAAATAGATTTCTCTCAAACTTGGTACTTGAGATTGCCTTTATAAGGGTTGCTTCAAAATGCATCTTGTTTTCAGTCTAACTGCATTTTGGCAACGTTCCAGGGGGGTCAAGTTGAGGACCAAAATTATGATTTTTGCTGTTTCTCAACAGTGGATTTTTACTGATTTTTAAAGATCCCTACATCAAACAAAAATAATGATAAAACTAAATCCTTCCACACAATAGTAGCTTTATATGTCTTAAGTAAAAATATATCTACAAATTTTTCAAATATGTTTTCTAAATATAGAAATGACATCATACATGACAGACTAAATAGAGATTTCCAAGTTCCTCAAAAATTGTTGAAATAAAACCCCTAAAATTCAAAAGTTAGACTTGCCATGAATGTAATATTATTTGTATGGTGAGATTAAAGGTTGGTCTTACATAATGTAAAATTAAATATTGCGGCCTGTAAATTCTGGGGGTACTACAGGCCAACAAATAATCAACATTTTCGACTTTCGGTAGTTTAGATCAAATAAGAATGTTCATCGTTTACTGTAAATTCTGCTTTCAAAGACCGAGATTTTACTTATTATTTTGACCTAGAACAGTGATAAACATTCGTTTGACCTTTGCTGTTGTCTAAAGTCTTTTAGGGAAATGCACTGACACATTCGCAGGCTAGCATTTCCCGTTATGTATGGACCGTATTGTATAAATAATAAAAATTTTCTAGCTGAATATAAACAAAACAAGTTATAAATTTGCAACAGGTAAAGATGTCCGTTAGTCAACAAATTATCGAACATCGATTTACTTTGAAGATTTATTAGTTTTATATTTTAAAAGTCAAGAGAAAAGTACTCCAATATTAAATTAACTAATACAAGGATATGCCTCAAACGACAACCCTGTCAGTGAATGACCCCGATTGTCATTAGACTTACTATTTGACTTTCGTCAGCTGCCATTATTCTTTAGTGTTAATCCCTTTCGATATCTTAATGATTATTGTAGACACAGTCTTGTAAATAAATCTTGATTAGTCTTCATCAGCAGCCTATGCTAGTCAATTTCTCTGTTGTTTTTATGTCTCAATCAATTCCATGGTTGCCAGGGTCGGGCATTTGCTTTCTGCAGGTTAGCCCCGGGGTGGGGAATTTGCTCGAGGCTAAAAAGTCGAATATTTATCGCTTGTTTCGCCATTTAGCCGTACTTTAGTACGCATGTTTACACGAGCGTGCGTATCGTATTTTTTATGATCTTTTAATCCATCCCATGGAAATTCCTTGACAGTTTTTGATCTAGCCAGTGGAAATTCCGTACTGATTCTTTGATTAGTCTATCCCTTGGAAACAGAGCCGTAGCCAGGGCTGGGGCCGGGGGGGCCGGCCCCCTGGCAAAATTTTGGCCCCCTCTGGCAAAATATACTAAAATAGACTAAAATTTAGAAGTGTGCTTTTAGCATACGTCAACAAATTACACCATGGACTTACCTAAAGTGTAAAAAATTATTTCAATCTAGAATCTTCAAAAATACAGTATTGTAAACAATCTATTAAACAGGATTCGTTTTGTATATTGTGGAACTAAAACAAATTAAATTACATTGTATACGTACTTGTTCGACGTTATGAATCTCCATGTACTTAAAACAGAACTATAATACTTTAGCCATATTTAAATTTGGCCCTTGAAAAAAATAAAACCCCTTGAACTGGAAAGCACTATAAATCAACCATAAAAACAGTGAAACACTTTGCAGTTTGCATGATTATTGTTAAAGAAAAGTTTAAAACCCACGTGACAAAAAAGCGCCAAATTGATGGTAACCCGGATGTAGCATTTACATTGCCCGATCACATGAGACATTGCCCGAAAACATGAGACATTGCCCGAAAACATGAGATATTGCCCGAAAACATGCGAACCGAAAACATGCGGCCCGAAAACATGTGAACCGAAAACATACGGCCCGATGTCGATGACATGAGACATTGCCCGAAAACATGTGAACCGAAAACATACGGCCCGAAAACATGACACATTGCCCGAAAACATCTGTCTTCACCAATTTATATTTTTGTCCCATTCCACCCCTCATAGCCGCAAAGCAGTGCGATGTCCTGTAGCTGCCGCTATTCCCCCACTTCCATATTGGAGCAAAGAGTCGACTTGGTGTTATGAAACGGCTGTCCAT